GGGGGGGGGGGGGGGGGGCGGTAGCTACACCGGAATTTATAGAAGACTCGAAGCAATCGGCTGGCGCCACTCACCCGTTGCTTTTAGTAGGCTATAAAGCTTCCACTGCCCAGCAATAAAGTCAACTCGATCTGGCTACTGCTGGCCACACGCCGAGCGATATCTCGATCTTGATCTCTCGATCCCATTGATCCATAAGATCGATGCAGGACCGACCGTTCGCTCGGGGATGACGCTCGGACTTTTGTTTTGACTGGACGGTCGCGCGAGACTGCTATCCGTGAATCTCTCGAAACACGGTGGCAATGTGGCAGTTCGTCTTAGCCTGGCGCGAGGCAGCGGTGGCCACTCCGGAGGACCTGAGAAAATTAATTGATATGTGTCGCAGCATCTGAAAGCTTCCTTGAAAGCGCACCGGATGTGCGAGGGGTTCGTGGGCGACGGGCATTGTCTCGGGGCGCCTCCGCATCTCTTTTATCCGACCGACATGTCGAATGCTGGATGCATTTCAATTTATGCCCGCTCTCAGAATTCACCTTCCATATATTCCCTCCCCTTGCTCTTCCGATGCATCTGCCCCACCCTGGCATCATCATCCTTCGTAGTCCCACGGCGGACCCGTTTCCGGCAGGATTCCCATCGGCAGGACTTGGCTCCCGTGTTTTCTCTTCCTTTTGCCTCGAATCCCCTCGACTACCCTGCACGGTTTGGACTCTCGTAATATCTTGCGATTGAATAGGGTTCTTCTTATTTTCGTTATAAATTTAATTAACGGGCTTCGGTCTATAATCGTTTCTATTGAACGGAGGAGGGTTTAATCATCGAGATGTTAACAGTTGTGGGTGGGGCGCAGACATTGCCATGCGCTTCGGGCTCGGCCTCTTTATTTATGAATTATCAAGAGTCCGGCACTGGCCTGGTCGTTAAACACTACGTCCAGCCGACTCTACGTATTTTTCCCCTTCTGGATCAACGGGATCTCTTGGATCGATTAAACAAACCAAAGATTTCATATGGCGATCGAGTCCTGGGGCGATTCTCTGAAATTATATCGTGAACCGATAAATAATTCCGTTTCCTTTTCGTCCCCTCGTTCCAGCAGCGTCGATCCCTCGGGTAAAAGGCTACAGGACTACCACAGGAGTTCGGTCGGTCGGAGAGCCTGGAAGGCGCACCTGAGAATTTCCTGAGAATTTCGAGGAGCAAGAAGCAGGCAGCCTCGGCGGAATAATTTTCTCAAGAAGAGCGTAAACGGGAAATGATTTTAATATATCTTCCCGTATAATGATAGCCCTTTCGCCCAGTGCCGGAATGATGATTTTTCGTGTAAATTGATTGGCTCCAGGAGGCAGGGCGTCCTATCATTACGCGTGGGAGTCCGTTTTGAAGACGAGGAAGTGGGTGGCGGCACTGAGCCATAAGTCAACGTGCACCAAGGTGTTCCTGCGTTCCACATTGTTGCGATGATGGAGATGTTAACGTTAACATTTCAAGAACCGGAGAAAGGTACAAATGCACCGGTAAACGGATGCCCGAGGTTATTATAAATCGTTCGGAGGAGTACAGGTTGCGCGTCTTCGTGCAAATGATGATCATCGTCGAGCGAGCGATCGAGCTAATTTCAAATTTTGATCCATCGGGATCCGTCGGCGTTCGACGGTTGGCGTCTTCGCGATTCCTAGAAGCGAGCAAATTGTAGGAAGATCATTCGGATGATGGTACGTGGATGCAGCCAAGACGTGTTATGAAAAAATCGGCTGGGATCTTATCCGGGCGCGTGGTTCCCCCTGGGTAAATCGTTGTGGGCGGATCCGAAGGAGCGTTCGATCGATCGATCGATCGATCGATCGTTGGATGACGATCTTCGTATCACCGGTAACGATCTTAATCAAGCGTTGCATCATCGGAGTCCCTCTCTCGACTCTCCCACACTCTCGGCCTCTTCTTTTCTGCTCTTCGCTCTTCTGTACCAGGATGCAAATATCTTCCCAGACCAGTTCCGATGATCTAAGGATCTCGCGTCATGCGATCAGGAAAACTGAGTCGAACATTCAAGTCCGATATGCGTAAACGTTGTGTGTTAATCTCATCTTTTTTTTTTTCGTTTTTTTTTTTTTTTTTTTTTTTTTTTTTTTTTTTTTTTTTTTTTTTTTTTTTTTTTTTTTTTTTTTTTTATTCCACTAATCAGATGTAATATCATTACCTTGGCATTATGAATAACCAGAGAATCCAACAAATGGATTTACGTAACGCGTGCTGCGATTCTTCGTCGAAGCGAAAAATACTTGGAAATCGAGGAGAGGGGTTATAGACGTTCGCCTAGTCGCGTCCTTGTCTTACGCAGCCGAGCGCCCATGGGAGCCTCTCTCTCGCACTCGCAGCGGGTATACCGAACTGTGTTACCTTTTTTTAAAAGGATCGAAGATTCTTCGCCGATCGGTCGATCAAAGGTGACAGGTTACGGAACTGTCTTAGAACATTGGGTTACGTCGCTCGAGAAAGAGACCAGAGATTCCGAAGTTGCCAATGTTTTCGAGCAGCCATCCTCAAGACGGCTCTCTGACATGCGTGCTAACAGGGCATAGTCGGCTATGAATTGACGGTTTTTTCCCAAAGTACCGTGCGACTCGCAATCAAGATAATCGCGACCCTGGATGCAATTAGTAGAACAGCCGAGACTCATAGGTGGTAATTTTATATGGGAGATCGACATGCGATCGCGAGAAACCTCTAGGCTAATTAGAGAGATATAGATTATCAATTGCTCATCGAGAGACGGTCTGTACCTATCGGCACTTGCACGGTCTTGCCCCACGTGCTGCGATGCGCCTGCGATCCACACGACGTGTGTTCGTTAATACGCCAGAGCGGACGACGGCGAGAGGGTCTACAGAGTTTCGAAGGTCCCTCTCACGGTTTCTCGGTTCTCTTTATCGAATTTGATCTTGGCCTCGACCAATTACGTTTCCTGAACCGGAAAACATCCTGGCGCCGATGTATCCGCGGTCCGCTGCTCCCACCTCAAATTATAAATCAGGAGATAAGACGCTCTCTCTGGCGCAGTGCACCGGGATCGTGGGGGCTTTTAAGCTCGTACATCACTGGGGGGTTACGCCTCCCGTATTTGCTTAGTCGTGCAGAGGAGGTGCGGATAAGGCAGAGATGAAACAATTAATAATCTGGACGAGGCCACGAAACCTTGCTCTGGACCAGATGGTCGACTACCTTCGTGTTGGAGCCTCCTCCGCCCCCCTTCATCTTCTACGCCCTAGTCTCTTCGTCTTCGGGCTTGGGACTTCCTGGTGCTCGGCTTCCAGGACTCTGGACCGGAATAGACGGGGCGGCAGGTTGCTACGGAGACGCGATGCTGCAAGGCGGAAGGCTTCGTCCGAGCGTTTAAATCCTCCGTAGATGCTTATTCACTCTGCCGGTGGTGGTAAAGCGGCCAAGGAGACACGTGATATTTAGGTGAAAAATGATGATCCTCCGGGTATATCTTGGTGTCGGGTTGGATATCTTAATTATCAAGGAAAAATTAATTACCGTAACGCCCACTGCGCAGCGCATATCACCCTGGGGTGAAGGTGGGTGAGAGATCCGAGTTGGTACCAAGGAGGGTGGAGGAGGCAGGGGACTCGAGTAAGATTCCCCGAGGCACCCGTTGGCGCAGATCCTTGTGATCTCTTGGGTGTCTAGGTGCCTCCCGATACAACTGGAGGGATCCTTAACGTCATTCATATACGTAACTACGTTTCTTCATTTTTTGCCGTTTGCAAACTTTCCAGTTCGCTAACAACCGACGACTGGGGAATCGACGCAATTCTCATGAAGCTGAATGATTCGGTGCGCTGCAGTTTAAAGCTCGTAATTGATCGTTTCACGAGAGTAGTCGGATAAAGATACGTGTGTATATAGTATATGAAGAAGTAGGAGAGAGAGAGAGAGAGAGAGAGAGAGAGATTCGTGGAAAGGTATCAGCGACGCTTCTAGCCACGAAGAGAAGGAGGAGGAGGAAGAAGAAGAAGAAGAAGAAGAAGAAGCAAGGGCAAAAGTAAAGAGAAGGAAGAAGACTCGGGTAATTTCCAAGGATGGAAAGGGGTTTTAAGAGACCGCGGTGTGGGAGTCTCGGGTTTAGGTTCAAAGGTTCGCGATTATAACATTCCGGGCATGCCGTTTCGTGTGCATCAATTCGGTACGCCAGTTCCCTCTTCGCCGGAGTTCACCTCCTCGCGAGGAACTCTGCGCCGAGACTAGAGTCTTCGGAGTCGAGCCTCGCTCTCGCAACTACTCGCAACCGTCACTCGACTACCCGCGACTCCACGAGCCGTTCTAGAAAGGCAATTCAGTGCTCGGAGCGTGCTGCCGTTGCCGATGCTGGTGCACCTTGCTTCCAGGAACAGGAGATGGGTCCAGGAATCGCAAGGGCCAATTGCGGAGGCCTCCCTTCGCACTTTGAACCTCCAAGCTCCCGATGGCTTCCCCAGGTCGGATCCTTTGCTCCTGAAAATCCGGAAGGCTTTACCCTTGACCCCTTGGACTCGCAGCGACTCCTGGGAGTGTCGGAAGTGATCCTGGCTCCTTGGCAGTCTTCACGAGCATCCCCCCCTCGTGCCAGCACAGACCACTGCACACGCTACTCGCGCGTGGGAGTACCCGGTATACCTTTTTTCGTGGAATCGTGCGAGAT